GGTTTTACAATGAATACAGCCTCTAATTGGATCTGAATTTTTGCAACACTATTTTGACATTCTGTATGCGAACAATGATAATGAATATATTAATTATTATCAGAAAGGAGTTTTGTGGATATTATAGTAATTTCAGTAGTTGAGTTCATGAGTTAATTAAACCTAGATTACCATGGAAAACCTGGAAGCACTGGAAGGTCGTTTAGTCCTAGTGTGGGACTCCTCAGCAGTGAGCATCTACGATCGCTCCCCGCGGGATTCGAACCCAGGACCTACCGGTCTCGTGCGCTAACGCTTAACCTCTAGACCACTGAGGTTGCTTAACTTCAACCAATCGACGAAATTGAGCCACGCCCGCTATTATTAATATACCCTTTTCTTTATTGACATTAGTAAAAATCATTTTACGAACGGTATCATTTGTACTTTCTAAAAAATATTCATAACAGTAATATTAAAAAGCGTTAGGCTTTAAGCAAAATACGTGTAATGTTTACGGTAATATGATGTATGGCACTAATCATGAATGAAATAAAACGATATTAAACAATTTGTTTGACATAACTTTCCCATGCAATTGAATAACGTGAAAATATTGTTGGCAATAAAGCATAAACATATAACATATGAACACAAACATGTTTTTCTTTAGAATAGTAAATTATTCGACATTCATCCGTGATAGCACACCTTTTAAAAAGAAGCAAAAGAAATTTATATTAAATTTGTAAATTATTTTATTCAATTAGTTATTTCTGTTTCAGTCTCATAAAGTCTGGAGCAAAGAATATGTGTGTCGATAGAACAATTAGAAAACGGAGTTGATTCGAACAATCTTGTCACACATATGACTTATCAGAGCATTTTATATGAAAATTAATAAAGGTCAATTAAATGAAAGTTCAAGTAATGAAGTAACAAAGAGGAGAGAAACAATTTTACATCGTAAACCTAATAATCTATTACGACTAATTTTGTCTATGGGCGCTTCTCCCAAACATGAGCTAGCTAAACGTTTAGTAGAATTGTTAAGTCCAATTCGTACTAAACTATGTAAGTTTTCTTTAAAAGATACATTTGAATTAATTGATCTTCTTGGGGACATTAATATTAAAGATAAGTCTTTGCATTCTTTTGATGTAAACTCTCTCTTTACGAATGTACCGTTAACAAAGATGGTGGATTTCCTTTGTGACTATGTTTCTAAAAAATTTTCCCTTTTTCCTATTCCGTTACCATTGTTGAAAGAGTTACTTTTATTATATACTGCCAATGTTCAATTCACGTTTGATGGTAAATATTTTCGACAAGTTGATGGTGTAGCTATGGGTAGCTCTTTGAGGCCTCTCTTAGCTGATGTATTTATGTCATATGTGGAAAGTATGACAACTTTATACAGAAGATACATGGATGATAATTTAATTATATGTGATAAAGATTTTGATGTTTACCGGCTATTAGATAAACTCAACGGAGTTCAGGACGATATTGTGATCACATATGAAACAGAAAATAATGGCCAATTGGCATTTTTAGACATACTTTTAGGTCGAAGGGAGGATGGCACTATAAGACGGTCAGTGTATAGGAAACTAACCTGGACATGACAATGCTTAAATTTCTATCGTTTCTGTCCATTGCAATACAAGCGAGGCTTGGTTAAGTGTCTCTTTAAGAGGACTCAAGTAATTTGTACTTCTGACACTGGAAAAAGATGAAAAGTTACTGACTGACACATTAATAGCAAATGGTTATCCACTAAAGTTTATTAATAGATGCAAAAGTCAGTTAATGCCAAGACCTCTTGTTTATTCAGTTCCAAAGAAAAAAGTTTATATCCATCTACCATATAGAGGTGAATCCAACAGTATGGTTTTAAAACAGAGATTGAAGGCAGCCATCAAGAAAACCTATTATGCTGCTCAATTGGTTGTAATTGAAAAGTTTAAGCCCATGATTCCAAATAGACCTAGACAATGTACTGATGTATTTATCAATTTACATACATGAAGGACTAATCGAACAATGCAATCAAGGTCATTGAACATGTGCCTAGATGGTTTCAAAACCAATGTGTGTCGAATGATCCAGTCAACATACGAAGTAGAAAATGATGTTCATCGATAGCGAAACATATAATTGGAATGGATCACAAAATTGACATTAATACAGCTTTTAGAACGTTGTATAGAAATTGTCAAGGACGAATTCTCAAGCTTATTGAAGCCTTGGCTATTTGTGAATTTAAACTCCCTTATATGTACAAAAACAATTTGTCGTAACCTTGAATTTATCTTGGTAATCCTTAAGTCATTCTATGACCTAGGATAACGCGACAACTTATTCTTTTTATACGATATAAAATTGTTTCTCTCCTCTTTGCTACTTCATTACTTGAACTTTCATTTAATTGACCTTTATTAATTTTCATACAAAATGCTCTGATAAGTCATATGTGTGACCAAATTGTTCGAAATGTATAGCACAAATACATCAAATTTTTCAGATCAACTCCGTCTTCTCATTGTTCTATCGAAGTTTATAAAAGGGACTAATTGCTTTAAATACGTGTTTCATCATAGCTTAAAATGTATTGTCATTGTGTATCCATTGCTCCTTATGAAAGTGCACAGTCTACAGATCTCTATGTCAGTATCATATCTTTCGAGTAAAACTATCCAGTGCCATGTAGTTTTTTTATAGCTCTTCATTTAATGTTTCTTCGTAAAGTAGGTTATCTACAGACAGTATAAAGCTTTTTTGTAATACACAAATAAACTAATTATAAGTAGTATGATAAGACATTCAAATGAAAATGTCAAATAAAATTGGACGGACATTCAACTAAACATTAATTTTCCTTAACCAAGCATAAATATAAATTCTAACCCATAATCTATTTATTATGCCGGTAAATAATTACTGAAATATCTCACAGATTTCAAAATACAAAAATCATTCCAATGTTCCTAATTGTATGTAATACATGGATACAAACAATATCCAGTATCTTTTAATTGGTATAAATGATTAAATATTAAAACTTCACACTTGTTTACATTAGTAAAATAAACTTTGAATTGATTTATTAAACAGTTAAATGAATTGCTGAATTTGACAAGAATCAGTAATTTACCGTAGATGTCAAGATGACAAAACATAATGTTTTGAAGATTTTCTAGTACATTGAATATCAAAAAGACATTTAATGGAGCCTGAAAAACTTATTGATATGAAATTGATGAAAATAGTTTATGTGAATTCTTATTGTTGACAGAAATTACTAAAACACCAAATAAGATAATGGAATAATATATAATGGATCAAAATATTTGACATTGAAGTTCAAAGATTTAAAATAAAACGTAAACGGTCAACTATATGATTCCGTTTTTAACGAGCAAAACAGAAATAAGCAGCTTTTGTTTCACTGAACTATGATAGCTTCAACTCAGTAAGTTCATCTTGAGATGTTTCCCCATCTTGTATTTGTTATTTCCATCTTTATCATATTAAGTGATAATCGAAAATAATTACTCCCACTATTTATAAAAACCCAATCATTGAATTAATTTACATTTCATTATAAATGTACATTTTGAAAAAAACATCACTGTTCTGTAATAGACAATTTAGTTCTTATTTATTTATTTATTTATTTATTTATGCCAACACAAATATTAGTACAAAAGGGCACAAAATACATATGCGCCACACAAGTCACTTGATTTATGTGTGAGCTGCGATACTGCCCGGGTGCCCAGACCGAAGCAGGTGGTTTTCTTATAGAGCCATACCCGGAACATTCGACCTAAAGATCTGATCCGCAATGCAGCAGAGCAACTTTACGAGATGCCGTCCCTTGGTAGCCGGTGACCAACAATTGGTCCATATGCCATTTGTTCTCATAAGATCCTGGATCCCATGTGCACCATTGGTTTTAAATCAGGGTTTTTCAACTCCTCCAGGTAAACTCTCTATGTCCATCGACCCGGTTATAGCACCGAGTATTCGCTTTTCATCCTTTCAATTACATAAACAACACTCCCACCATGAGAAGACAGTAAGTGATACTTTCCTAACAGTGACTGTTTACGTGTGGCTATGTGACAGTATATACAACCACTACCAGGCAAGTCTTACTCATCAACTTCTCACGGCAGGGTGTTGCTTATATTCAAAACTATATAAACGTATTAATTTCATATAAAAGCTAAAATAAGAAAATGAAATGAATTCATTGTGTCATTGTTTATAATTCGTTAAATATTAAATATTTCATGCTTACAACTTGTTCATTAATTCATTATATGTGAGAATTATATTTGAAATAATCTCAGAGATTGAAATTTAAAATAATTCCAACGTTTCGTCCAGCTAACATGTCTAGACCTCTTCAGGATAACAATCACAATCAAAATCATCAAAGAAATATATAGCTTTTTTAACAATCAAAACTATACTGTGTTAAACCAATCATATTTGAATAGATGAAACGTTGGAATTATTATGTAAATTTCAAAAGCTGAGATTATTTCAACTATAATTTTCACATAAAAATATCTTCTCTCTATACTCGGCGCTCAATTTCTGTCAAACTATTCATTCTAATCTTGATGAATATTCGTATAAGAATAATAATCATTAAAAAAAGATGAGATTATAATTTATGGACGACCTTTGAGCTAAGCTAGACTGACCTTGAGTATGTTCACCTAATATCTATAACCAAATGACCATTCTAAACCTATGTGATGAATTAGAATTATGTTTTACAAATTGATAATTAACATTAGAAATTAGATTTCAAACTAACATTAGCAATAATGACTAAAACTTCATTTATTCAAAATGGATGAATGAATTTTGCGCCAATATCCAAAGCCTATTATCTTATACGTGATTGGTTCGTCCATACATTATAATCTCATTAAAACAAAATAATTTTAATATATATATATATATATATATATATATATATATATATATATTCATTTAATTTACTTATATAAACATTCATTTAAATGAGATGCTCTTAATTGAATATGACATGAATCATATTTAGGTATTTTATTCAAATAATTAAACTGAAATAATTTAGAAAATGGTTGAAATATAAATTTTGATATAATTTCTATTTTATTCCATGATAATTCACATACTATAGAATAATTTTTTTTTATTGTTAATAAATTTGATTGTAATTTTTTATTTGATAATTGTAAAATAGCTGATGGATTTATTAAATATTGTTTATCTATAATTAGTGATATATTAGAATTAGGATTTGCATCACGTAATCTCATTTGTATATTAGATGTTGAAGTGATTTCTGGTAATAAATAAACTATACTTGTCCAATATATTTGATTTGAATAATTTTTATTATTATTCATCCATTTTAAATAATTTAAACCCATTAAAAAATATTGTTTATGAATTGTATTTAATTGAATACATACTTCATTAGCTTGACAGAAATTACGTAATAGACCATCATCAATTGTAATAAATGATTCATTTGTATAACAAATATAAATAAATATATTCATTAATTTAATAATAAGTAGCATCATTATAAAGAAGATATATGTTGATGTTTTACTTATATATTTACTATTTATAGTTGTATTTTATACCGACAAGAATAATGAAGGGTAATTTTGGAATCGTTTTGTGGACCAATACTAAACGTATATTTTTATTGTATAATTGTTAAATAACTAAGCTATTCATATTTATATTCCTCTAATTATAAGCTTTATTTTAACCTATGAAACATTATTATACGTTTTACCATTCATGAATTATGCCCTGTCTATTAGTCACTGCCTCCCATATTCACAGACATATTTGGCCAAATTTTGTACGAATGTTAAACTTCTATTTTATGCTACGTTATGGTCTGTTTGATTGGTATATAAACTCAGTATGTTTGAAATATAATAATTTATATTGCAGAGGCTGAAATTGGCGTTCTGGACTTAACTGGCTGGGCTAGGCGGAAAGCAGGACCAATCAGAATTCTAGGCTAATCGCACGTGTTTAAGCGTTCTTGGTTCAATTGATAATTCACTGCCCTTTAATCGGCGGCCCAACATATAACAAGTTGTAAAATATTTTTAAGAAATATAGAGGTTTATTTGAATAAAAGATGTTTTAAATGTATAACCAGTTTATTTTTTGTACTTATAAGGAAGATAGATAGAAGATAAAAAAATAAACACTGAATGACATTATTATGTATTCTTATTGTTTCATTGTATTATTTAAATTTGGTTTTTTTAATTTATTCCTTGAAGAAGTGGCTTAACCTAAGTTACGAAACATCAGAAAATCCAACTTCTTTTATTCATTTGGAATATAACAAATATATTTATTAATTTATTTATTGAATTACATTGTTTCTTTATGAATGAATATAATAAATTTATTTGTTATTTTGAATATTATATGATGGATTGAGAAATTGAAATGAACAATAGTATGAGTGAATTAATATTATTTCTTAAAGTATGAGTGACAATTTGTTTATATTCCTTTATTACTTTTTTCCTAATATATATCAAGATGTTTCATGAAAGTGGGTAACCATAGCAAAGAGAACACCAGGTTTTCCCATTTTCGAACACCAGGTGTATAACGTTAAGATTTTTTCTTTCGTTTAACAAATAACTTACATAGACTAAATCAACAGTATTATCATTTAGTTTCACATCTTTGATCTTTGTATTTAAGATTATTATTGTTTAGTGATTGTCAGGATGATAAAGAAGATTGTAGCCATCATGTTAACAATAGGCATATCTTAAATAAAGAAATAAAATATGTGAAAGATATATAATAACTGAAAAGTAACAGATGATATTTCACAATCTGGTATTAAATGTTACAATATAATAGTTATTATGGTCATATTCGTAGGATGCGTGCTATAAATGCGTTAATCAACAAATTATTAAGACTACGGAAAAATTTTGACAACTTACTGAGTCGGAGCCGTGCATTAACTCATTTGTTCCTTACATTATTATCTTTTCTTGATTTATTTAACCTGAATGTGTTATCACTTTTGTGTGTCTTCTTTTCCTTTTCATCTGATTCTTTCGTTATGATCCTGATATGACCAACTAAACGAATACTAAATGATGTAGCTGCAGCTGAATCTGTCCACCTCATTTTGTTAGCATTAAATCACCAGTTCAATTTCAAAATATTCCAGTCTTCACTAAAAGTATCATATTTGAATATTTGCCATAATCTTAGCGTACGCTGACAGTACTTAAAATCCCCATATAAACAACAAGGCCCCCGATGAAATAGTTTATACTACCTTGTCATGTTCTGAAAACCTTTATTGAAGCACTACTGGTGTATAACTTTGAACGCAGAATGTGATTTATTAAAGGTTTCCCTATGTGACATAAACTTAAGTTTTAAAAAGAACGGCGATTTTCAAATTGTTGTAATATAGTTTTCATTTCGAACATTCGAAAAAATAGAGCACTGTGATACTAACTGTTATATCCTATGAACCTGATAATATATCTCGTGATGAAATCGCCAATTGGAACACCGACTAATATGACTTTGGCACTGTGTCTAACCACTGATTCGTTAACCGGCACGAAGAGTATAGAGTCAACTCCGAGTCCTCATTGGGTCCAGAACACAATCTCAGCTCCCACTGTATATATCATGTATTTCGTACATACGCGGTTTATATACAAGCAAATCAGACTGCATAGTACCATAAAATGGAGAATAAAAATTACACAAGAACAGGCAGAAAGTGGCCGTGAGTGTGAGATGCTGTAACTAATTAACTGGGAATAACTTAAGAATATTAAATCGTATGGTAATAGTCAGTAGGTCAAATGGAAGCTTATGACAAAAAAATATGAATATACATATATTATAGTGTGTGGTTCGTATGAATCAGTGATGGTTAGACATACATTCAGGTTTTTATGCTTTTGAGGGTTACTCAGAAAGATTAAAAATTTGGGATATGACCAAGGAAGATGTTGGGGATGTTAATATTGTGGTACATTTTTTCACATTCATCGAAAGAGAAGCATACAGCTTCTTAAAATCTCTAGATTTACCAGGAAAGCCTATTTCGCTTACTTGCGCAATTCCGAAGGAACTACTGCTAGACTATGTTAAGCATACAAATTTCGAATTTGATAAAGTAGGAGAATTTCGTGAAATGATGCATCTGAACATCAAAAATTCCACTACATCACTACGTCATCTCAAACCAGTGAGTACTCAAGGTTATGCAGATTATTCATTGGGTTGCAATGCAGTTCACAGATATGGGCACAAGTTTGATCAATGTTTGTCCTGTGGCAGATTTCACTCATTCAATTCATGCGTATTTCTTATTTTGAATTTGGTGAGATTGGACACATTCAGTCAGTTTGTAATAATATTATTATTCACATTATTATTGACATTATGGTTTGTGGATGAGGTCGAAATCTGAAGAACAATAAGAAGCAAGACTAATTATTTGCATCTCCAAGTTGACTTAAATAAGTCAGTTAGATGGGCTCGAGTTGGGGCTTAGAAGCTATTTATAGAAAGCGTGTGCTCATGAACATCGGACACAGTAATAGTTACAATTATACCATTAATGGTAGACCTCTTCCACGCGTTCATGAACATAAAGACTTAGGAGTAATAATAAGTCACCACATGAAAACAAATACGCATTGCAACATAGTAGCTGCCAGAAGGGTTTTATGCGTTATAGTCACCTCGCCGAGCATTCAAACGCTTTGACAAAAAGATGTTTTAAATGCAGCCACATCATTCATAACTTAAAGGATAAGAAGATCAAACATTATTTCGTAGGGGAGAATACTGTTGGAATATCTATGATTCAAATTCTAGATATCAGTGGTTTCAGTACAAAACCGATATGGTGATTGTATACAATTCCAGGACCCAGGTGAGTTCGTTCCAATTTCGGTTGTTAATTTTAATACTAATGAGCATATTCTAGATTATACTGAGACTACATCCAATACACGGTTGGACAGACACGATGAACCTAGAGAAAAGGGACATAAATGATTGCAGGAATTTGGATTTTCACATAAGCTGTGGCGAATGTGGTGTTTGTATTAGCTGATTCCTTGATTTTGTGTACTTGTTGCATCAAAAGCATTCTTGGTCCATTTTAACTGAAGTATTTCGGTTAAGGTTTGAAATCTTGGTAAACTTTGTCTTGTGGTACATTCTTTCTAATTGACTAGTACTTGTGTTCATATTGTGATCATATTGTGTTTTAAACCTTCTTAATCTTACTACAATGGTTGGTTGTACTTATAAATGTGGACAGCTAATCTGTTTGTTCCCTGTGGAGGAAGGAATGCAGTGCGATGAGTGCAAAAATTGATTCCATAAGATGTGTACTCATTTAAGTCCCACCGCATACAAACAATTCTCGAAAAATAACTCGCATTGACTTTGCATGTTTTGCTGTACAAATAAAACGTTACTAATCCAGGAGGCTATGAGCCTATTAGCTTCGGCATGTAAGAAGAAAGATGGTGGTTGTGCTGGTACTGATGGCAAAGATTGCGTCACTGTCGTAATTGCTGTCACGACACCAGCCAGACACCCAACTGTGCAACACGCAATTGAGCTTTCTACCCCCAAGCAATTAATCAGCCGCTCGTCATTAGATATTGGTGGCCATGTTGCTAGAGCAGAGACTGATGATCCTGATAAAACCATTAGCGTTCGGAGTAGTTCCAATGCAGATGTTATGACTGATGGAAAATCGATGACGCGGAAACGTAAAAGAGTAGGAGAGATAGCAAAACTACTCCGACAAAGTCTCGAAGTAAGACCTCATTAAACATTGTTGTGAGTCATTCTCACGACTCCCACAACTTTGTTACAAGACAAACTAACGGTAAGATGTCAGCACTCAATATGCAGGATATGACATCACGGTCGAAAGCCGTGAACACGATTTTTAAAGAAGTTAAACCCCTTCCTAGCTTGATCAATCGGAATCTGGATGAGTGAAAAAGCAATGGCCTTGCTAAAAGGCACGCACACGATCTGTATTTAATGAAATCTGTGACCAGAAACGTACTGCCTGAAGAGGTTTCAGAGGTGCATATAACAAAAGTCATAAGACCCGGTTAACGAGTTGGAAGCGAGACCAAACCAAGAAGAGCCATGAAGTTGGTGCTCGGGAATTTAGAGGAAAGACACATAATATTGAACAACGCACGCCAAACTCGTGATTCAAATATTCGTATCCAACCAGAGAGTGAGGGTCAGTGGAACGATATCTAAATGAAAGCCGCTCAAAAGTGGTGTATCCCAAGACACCATCTTAGGTCCCCTTCTTTTCCCTCTCTACGTCAATGAATTACCGCTAATGCTTAGGTCGTTGACATCATTGTTTGTGGATGAGGTCGAAATCTGGAGAACAATAAGAAGCAAGACTAATTATTTGCATCTCCAAGTTGACTTAAATAAGTCAGTTAGATGGGCTCGAGTCGGGGCTTAGAAGCTATTTATAGAAAGCGTGTGCTCATGAACATCGGACACAGTAATAGTTACAATTATACCATTAATGGTAGACCTCTTCCACGCGTTCATGAACATAAAGACTTAGGAGTAATAATAAGTCACCACATGAAAACAAATACGCATTGCAACATAGTAGCTGCCAGAAGGGTTTTATGCGTTATAGTCACCTCGCCGAGCATTCAAACGCTTTGACAAAAAGATGTTTCGAATTTTATATCCCACCTATATAACACCACACTTAGAGTACTGTATCCAAGTAGCTGGCCCACGTCTAGTGATGGGTACTAACTCACCTGATCGTGTTCAGCGTGTGGGAGCAAAATTAGTGAAGGATCTCTCCAAACTCCCTCAAGATGAGCGTTTGAAACGCCTAGTCCTTTTCACCTTGTCGTACCGTAGTCGCGATGTGACCTTGTATTAGCACTTTGTATCTTTAAATATGATTTGGATGTTAATATGTCTTATCCTTTTGCTTCTTCCAGCACTAATAATCTCCGAGGTTATAAAAAGTAGGTTCACAAACCATGGTCCAACAAACTTAAAGTGGGGTCCCGTTTTTCGCATCGAGTGGTCAATGACTAGAACACCTTACCCGAAAAAGTGGTATCAGACCCATCAGTGAATACTTTCAAGAAGAAGTTGGACCTTCACTGCAAAGCAATCTGTTGGGATTAACACAGGTTCATCAGCCTACTATACTTAATGATGAGGATTGCCTGTTTCTGAAATGGCCTTGTGTTTTCTCAAACTCAAGGTCGACGGGTATTTTCACTTAAGGTAGATATCTATCTTTCGATTGTACTCGAACTACGTAACTTCTATGTGATTTGGGTATGCCAGTCTCGTATTTCAATTAAATTACGAGAAATAGCTTCTGCATCAAGCTCAACGTACTGTTAACTTATGCAAATCTCCACAAATTTCTTGAATGTCCACCAACTTTGTAGAAATCCAGGGTTTTATTTGATGTATCCTCAAGATGTCTGATTTTTTTAAGGAAAACGCCCAAATTTTACCAAGGTTTTAGGGAAATTGCCGGAATTTTTCTGTATATAAATGTTTCCCTTTTATTTGCATGCTTTACGTGGTACAAAGAGTAGTCGCCTATTGTTTTCCACGTAAACATAGTTATTAAATTTGAAGAAAACCCCTAGGTTTCCTCGAATTCATAAGAGTGTGATCGATCTGTAACTTCCGGTACTGGTGACGTAATTGCAATGTTTCATCTGGTTCCTTCGTCGAAACTGTAGAAACTAAACAGCTCAATTTCAAAGAAGGTTCGTGGAAATCGTGCTCTATTTATGTATTCCCATTAAACAGTAAGGTGGGGCTAGATGCAGTCAGTCCGCGAATAATAAGCCTGGGTCCAAATGCAATGTATATGAGACTAACAAATGTACAGACCTTTATTCTGAATGACAATGCATGATTGTTTATGGAGAGTAAAAGCCAATCAATATAAAAATAAGTGATTGTGATAATCTACGTACAGCAAAAAGTCTGGAGCTTTGTTAATCAGCTTCAATGGATTTCCCCGAAATCGGTGGAAATACTGACGAAAACCCCGAATTTTTCTAAACGTTTTAAGAATTTCCTCTAAGTATATCCAAAGTTCCGGGTTTCTTGTTGCATTTTTTCGAGACTATAACTTATGAATGAACCTATCAGATTTAACGGACCTTGGAGTTTTGCGCCAAATCCATTATGGGTGATGCCAGTTCGTGATTAAAACATGAAGTCCAGTTCCTAACACTAACGTCCAACTGTAATTCCTAGTCCTGATTCCTCACTAATTTTTAACTCACATTTAAACTTATTATGTAAGTGGGCATTTGCAAAGTCTTTTTTTTTCGTTGCTCAAAGGTCATCTATAAATTGTAGTCTCACTGAATAAACGTATAGGCCACATATGTCTGATTTGTTCATCCCTCTTTGTCCTTTACTTTTAACCTCACTGTGATTTCACACTATGTACATTGTGTGATGCGAGATTGTGTTTGTTTTCAATCTTGCTGCGCTTGTCGAGATTCGATTGGTCAGTGCAAAAATTTATACTCTATAGGTTTAATGTCTTGGTTCTCGATTTCAAATTCGGCTACCATTATTTTAGCCTAGCTCTGTCTTTATGAAAGCCGTTCGTTATGTGAATATTGTTCACAACTATTTCGTCGACGAGTAATCATGAGACCGGGTTTTCTGTTGATGACTTATGTGAACATTGTTTGCTAAATGTAATTTCAAACATATTTTTGTCAGACGCATTTCGTCACATTCATATCTGGTGGGCGTGGAAGCATAATTTAGCGCCTTATTAGACACTGATGATGTCTCAAATTACTTAAGATTGAATTAAAAGTAAGTATCTGCAATTACATCAGTCATCCAGGTGCAACGTAGGAACAGGCATATATATGCATTTGTCCAAGTTGTTACACTTCATTAGCACAACAAGATGAACACCGGATTCATAAAAGTAGTTGATTCAATGGTGGTAATATATAAAAAAAGATTGCATATAAGGACATGGTACAGGAAGAAAAAATTAGTTGGTAAAAATAAAGATATGAAGTGATCTTAATCTCTTAGTTTGAGGAAAGACAGAGTGTATACATCGACTCCATTGTGATCGATTCTGAGCCGACACTCAGTCTCCAACCATTAGTTACGATAGTTACGCGGATCCCAGCTAGGTAGTCTGCATCCACCAACATTTCTCAGATTAGAGATTAGTGACTTCAGGGACTGATGCTACGTTTTTCACATTATTAACAATATGCCAAAATCTGTCCAATATTACTCGCATACCTACCTATCGTAATAGGTCACATACAATTCATGCAACAGAATTAAGCCAACTATTGTAAAGCAAATTTACACTTCGATTTCATTAAACGCATAGCGGGTCAGATTCTAGGTTCTATGTTTATTATAACTTACTGACTGTTATAATATATTCATTCTATTTATTAACCGGTAGAATTCGTCCTCATAACTCTTTTGCTACATATAGCTTATTAAATTATACTTGGGTTTGATGGAGTAATTAATGTTTAGAGTATTCTTTTATCAAGGGTTTCTTGAAGAACTTTATACCCTGAAAAAAATACAGTAACATCATTCAGTTAATTAATTTAAATGTTACTATTATTTTTATCTTATGTTACTGTTTTCATAAGCTCATGATTACTCATACTTGTTATCAGTTTTAATTTTTCAGCACCTTCCGTATATTGAAATCTTCCACTGCATGAACTTTGAGTATACAAATGGAGACCTTATATTACGGTCAACAAATACCTCTTCAAAAGTAACAATATTTCAGTTTCCTTTTCCTGTAGTTCGATAAAACTTTGGATTCCTTATGGACTCGCGCTTATGAATCCAACTACTTTCACTACAAAATTGATACATCATTGAGTTCAGTAAAGAAAATTTGCTCTGGAAATGTAAATATTTTGATTTTAGTAAGTAAAGTCTGTTAAAGACGTAACTCTAGCCTAACAATAATCGATTCAGCCATCGGCGTAAACCACAACTATTTAAAGGCATAAATGATCAACTTTCATCCGAATCCTTCAATTTTAATAAAGTCCCCAAACATGAATTCTTGTTAAATGTTTCTGAAAAGCATGCCACAGTAAGCACACCACTTTTTTAATGTTTAGAAATCATGTTCTGTACTGATAAATATCAGTCCGTTTTCATATTTACATTCTCTTTTGGTTCCGGAAGTAGAAAAATGCCACAATCAGGTATGAATGCACGTTTTTTTTAACAATTTCAGTTCCTCAGAAAAGACTCTTTTTACTCAGCAATCAAGTGTTTTCTTTTGAGTAGCAACAGGTCAGTTTTACATTCGTTCTTTCACTACTTAAGTCAACTTGTTTGTAAAAGCTATATGAGCTATATTGTTGAAAATAATATGATCATGGTTCTATTGTTGGGATTTCCAGACTTTCGTGTTAGCCTAGGGTGAATTTTTTCCCCAGTTTTTTTAATATATTATGGTTACTTTAAAGTCATAGGGAATGAATAACCTCATGCAGAAAAGTACATAAATCAACCAATTAACTATCTCAAGTGTTTTTTTTCAGGGCTATCCACATCCATCATTGTTATTTGACTATGTCTTAGATAGTCTTTTAAAGTTAGCAATGCTATGCATTTTAGGAATTAATCCCCTTAATTATTGACTGAAAGTAGAGATAACTAGCAGTTTTATGAATGCGTTTAATAACAACACAAGTATTTACTCAATTTCTTTACCTCTCTAAATGCGAAACTCCTAAATTAACGTGCACCAGTCCATGACCTAACCACTGGGAGTGAAGTTATTAAGTACGCTTACCGTTTCAGTTTATTTGGAAGCCTCATAATCACTGTTGTGTTAGTGCTTCATAAAATTTCAACACGGATACAGAAAGGTCAGTTGGTTTTCATCACTCCAGACCATATTTACACTTCACATCCGTGTATTTTGTAATGCTTTAATACTGGTACACAGCTTAATAAAGTAGAAGACATTCGTACATTGCATGTAATCGAGCGTAGCCGTCCTCAAAACTACTCGCATCTAGTTAGACCACAAAGTGAATAACCCTAAGGTTAAGCAATTGTTCTAGGTAAAAATGGTAAGTCGATTGATCAGGCTATAAGCATTCTTCAACTTAGTTAATCAGAATGTATGAAACGTATGCCTAACTAATCCCTATTCAGATGTGCACCCATTCTTTCTTTCTCTGTAACATGAGTTCAGTGCTATTCAGTTCATTCTGTTTCGTTTTATCAATCTCATCTTGTTTTTTACCCTCCTTATAATAATAACAACTATCAAAAAACCTAAGCTTCTCGAGTATTTTCCACAGTTTAGCAGTTGATCAATTACTCATAGATCAAAACATTTATTTTATATTACAAACCCACAAAAACTGTAGTCCTAAACCGCGTAATATAAACTTGTACTCGTTGACATTTCGCAATTCAGTTATGCAAATCTCATACCATGCTTGCGGGCACAAATCCCCATACGCAGTTTTAATTTTTTTATACAACTCACCAACAAAGTGTGTGTTCATTTGGTTGGTTTTGAACCACTTTATTTTTGGAGACTGCCAAGCTACCCAGACCGAAATCTGTGAAACGAGTTCAAAACTTATCACTTAATGGTTCAAATTAAGCCCTCGGTATGAAGTATCCACTAAATGTAGTACCTTACTAATTCTGTTTTCGGAAATTAATTTCCTTTTCTACCATCCGCGTGATATGGCAGTTTAAAACTTTGGCTGCAGACAAAACTATACTTATATGTTTCGCAGGTTGCATAATCGTGCAACAGAGATATAATAATCTGTCAGTTCAAGTTTCCACACTTAAGAAACGAACAAAACAAGAAAAAATTACCCCACTTCCAAACAAGTATTTGTGTATAACCTCAGTTTATTCTCACCACAATTCATTGTAACGAACTATTAGTTCATGCTTGCAGTATGTATATTCTAAAGCGATAAGACTAGTAATTCAGCTAATTTTATTAAGATTCTTAATTTTCAGATATTTATGTATGGGCTTCAATAGTCTGTTGGCTCATGCTTCTGTAAACCACTTACATTTCCACTTTTGGCAATCACCAGAATACTTACGAGCTATGTCCACAGTAAGTAAATCAATATTTTGTGGTCAAGTAAACTAAGCATGAAATAACTTTCCCTTTAGTGTAAACATTGACCACTAAATTTCCATACTCCGTATGTTAACGTAGATTCTCACTGTGTCATGCTTGATTGTAAAAAAGATTTGCGGAATATTAATTTTACTTGATCAAACAAACGACGTGCTTAGCTGTCCCTCAAGTCACATAACGTTATCCATGTATAGTATTTTCGGTTTTTAATGAAAGAGACAATATAAGTATATCATTGGAAATTTAAATGTTAACAAAATCGAAGCTCGGAAACTTTTTAAGATAAGGATAGGAAAGGTTTTGAAACATGTAATGGTATATAACTTAAAACAACTTTCAACCAATATCAAAGTCAGAATCTTCAATACGAACGTCAAGGCAGTTCTACTGTACGGAGCTGAAACTTGGAGAACTACAACAACCATCATTAAGAAGGTACAAGTATTTATCAATAGCTGTCTACGCAAGAATACTCAACATCCATTGGCCTGATACCATCAGCAACAGCCTTTTGTGGGAGAGAACCAACCAGCTTCCAGCGGAAGAAGAAATTAAGAAAAGACGATGGAAATGGATAGGACATACATTGAGGAAATCATCAAACTGCATTACGGGGCAAGCGCTAACTTGGAATCCTGAAGGGAAGAGGAAAAGAGGAAGGCCAAAGAACACATTACGTCGGGAAATAGGAGCGGATATGAAAGGGATGAATAAGAACTGGAAAGAGCTGGAAAGGATTGCCCAGGACAGGGTTGGATGGAGAATGCTGGTAAGCGGCCTATGCTCCTTCACGAGGAGTAACAGGCGAAAGTAAGTAAGTAAGTAATGGTATATAAGTAGAAGGCCAAGGCAGATTCAAAGATTGTATAAACTTCTGTATACAAAGGTTAGGTTTTTATGTGTATTCCTATGGCTTCTGCTATATGTAAGAGTTGGGTTTTGGAACCATGGAGTAAATTCGGTGGGATTTTATAAATAACTTTAAACGCTGAAGTTTTATCTATGTGATGACCGGTATCGACCAGATTCACCAAGATAGAGCTTCTTGTCACTTTTTTTGTCTTTTAGTAACTGTGAAGGGTGATGCTCAGAAATACGATATATTTACCTAGTTGTGCGCCAAATATAACAGGCTCCGTAAGATCAGTTGAAATTGTAAATATACATAAAGGTAGAGGGACGAGGAAATTTATCCTTATTTCGTTAAACCACTATTGGCCGGTTGAGAAAAGTAGGACATAATCATGCCTCATTGGATGTACGTTCTAAGGCTTTTTGTATACATCGAGTTACTATCTCGCTAAATATATCACCTTTGAACTGTAATTTCAAAAATATAGGCTTTTTTGGTGCCGTCGACGATTTTATTTTAGGTTTATTTGCTGACATATGTTTCATTAAGAACCTTAGTGGGTTTGCGTGCCTACGTAGTAAATCCTGAATAAGTTTTAGCTCTTCTTCAAGAATGTCAGGAGAACAAATAATTTTGGCTCTGTGGGTCAAACATTTGAGTAAGTTTCTTTTGTCGTTTTATGTCTCCAGAATATTCAACGGTTTCTATATTCAGTTAAACGAGAAAATGAGATAGGTAACAGATTGGATTGTATGGACTAAGATTCATTAATGCTGAGTCCCGTCGCTGTTTTCAACAAGCAATATAGAATAACCAACTGTTTTCTGTTTTAATATTTCACACTTTGAACGGCTTATGTCTCTTTGATTTAGGTTTAAAGAAATACATAGTCGCTATTTTTGTTATTTTATAAATTACGGTGCGTTTTCTTTTCTTTTTTAAAAATAAACTTGTCTTGGAAACAAGTAAAGCATACTTTTCTTTATGTTTAGGATATTAAATTGAAATATGAAAATCCATTTTACTATGAACTGGTTAATCATCCCGTAGATAATTTTGTTCTTGAATTAACCGATTTAACAGAATTGGATAGGTTTGTAAAGTTAGTTCTTTTCTTAAAATTTGATCATCATTTACGGAATCAACTTTGACGTTATATGTTTTTATCCTTAATTAATTCAACCTGACAAAGGACATATTGACAAAACAAGTTAAAGTATATTTTAATTGGTTGTAGGCGTTATATAGACAATCATGTGTACTTTTAGTAAGTCACATTAAATGTAGGGCAATTACCTGAATTCTACAGAAAACTAAATTATTGAATAATTCCTCTAATTATTAGTCCAAACTTAGTAGGAATGTAGGCATATGTCAGTATAAGACTGTTTATATCTGTCTCTTGGTATTCAACTTATTTTTATCTGTGTAGCTGAAAATAGTATTTCACACAAAAATTGGTCACTAACTCTAGTTCCACTGTGAGTATTACACAAGTTGTTGTCTGTAATCTTGAACGTTATCTCATTTCATATAACTGCATTACTGCTGCTTAATAAACATACCCATTACAGTAAAGCGATGCTTTATAGAAGTGACTTATTAAACCATTGTACCCTCTTAGTATAACTGTATTGGGTTGGGAATCATTGTTATATAGTATTTTTAATCCGTTGATAACTATTCACATATTTCAATGAAGACGCTGCAGTGGTTGTAACTATCAATAGAGATAGTTAATTTGATAAAGTCATCTACAATTTGCTAGTCTCTTTAATTTCTGTGCAAATAAACAGCGCAACTGTATGTTGCTTACTTGGATTGCTTATTATTGTTAAAATGCAAGAGAAACATATTCATTTGTTTTACTTCGATGTTCATGAACAAATTTGTTTTATTGAAGTCTAGCAGAATGTAAAATATTAGGCATCATATGACCCATTCTGTCATATTATTTTGAGTGTATAAACAACAAGGTTGATTAGAATTAATTAGGACATTCATGTAAATAAAAAACGCACACACTAAGGCTTATCAAACAACTTAGATAATCTGGCATGTTATTAATTGAAATGATATAGTGTTTCTTTAAATTAAAATCTTAACATTTATCTCAATAATTTTAAATATCCAAAAGACGTACCGTTTAACTGAATGTAATAAAACACTATTTGGTACTTTAAAGCTAAAATGTTATCCGTGGTCGCACGCTATACTTTTCAATTAAGAACAGTCGCATTTTTGAGCAGCTATGGTGGTTTTCCTTGGGTCTAACATTACATCATTGATGTAAATACTAAATGTTTTGTTGATAGTCCACATACGGTGAGTATTTTACTGAGTTGGCGGTACTCCCGTATTGCAACTACTACAACTGAATAAAATTTTAACTAAAATCATTGTTTGAATCTGGTTCCATGGCATCTGATGTATTTGTGAATTATGAGGAGTAGATATAACATATTACCTCACTCTTCCAAATATCAGTATCCATCGACAATTAGTATGTTATTTTAACTCATCAAATTCAGAAACTATTTGATTAACTTCAGACCCAGTCGTGGCTGCATCGACTACATATACATATATTCACTATTCGTCAGGTCTAGAACATAGACAGGCTTAACGGCGTCCGACAATTGTGGTCTTTCTAGACTTAAAAGCAGCATTTGACTTTGTCGATCGAGAGATTCTGTGGCAATGTCTGTCATCGAAAGGTGTACCACAGAAGTACATAAACCGTGTGGAGGCTCTTTACTCGAACACTACTAATCGAGTCAGAGCTTATGGCGAACTGTCATCTGCTTTTGCAACCTCAAGTGGTGTCCCTCAAGACTGTCCACTATCTCCATTTTCGTTCAATTTCATCATAGACGTGCTGGTGGAAATGAGGTTCTCGTCGACTGAATTCTCGGGCATTGATCTCCTACTAGGAGGTCCACTTATCAGCTTAAAATACGCAAATTACATAGTCCTGTTTGGCGAAGGCGCAGATAAAATGCAGTCTTTTGTTAGCTCTGAGCAACAATTTTAGGATGTTTGGAATGCGCTTCTCTCCCTCTAAATGCAAGTTGTTGCTCCAGCACTAGCCTGCATCAACACCTGAACCAAGGATGGGGAGTGAAGTAGTTGAACACGTTGACAATTTCACTTATCCTGGAAGTCTGATCAGCCCAAATGGATTGGTGTAAGAGGAAATCTCAGCACGAATTCGAAAAGCTCGTTTGGCGTTTGCTAACTTACATCACCTATGGTGAAGGCGAGTCTCAGTCTATTAATTAGGAGACGAGTATACTGTACGGCAGTTCGTTCTGTTCTACTTTACGGCTGCGAGACGTGGCCACTAAGAGTAGATACTCGTAATCTACTAGTATTTGATCACAGATGTCTTAGAAATGTTGCTCGCTTCTGCTGTAATCACCGGTTAAGTAATAGTGAGGTTAGACACAGGGTATTGGGGAATGATGGTAAATCAGTTGATGAGGTTGTAAATCTTCATCGTCTGAGATGGTTGGACCACTTGTTGAGTATGCCTGAACACCGATTACCACGACACGCAATGCTGACTAGTATTGGAGATGGTTGGAAGAAAGTTAGGGGCGGTCAAACCAAAACGTGGCATCAGTCCTTGAAGTCACTGGCTTCTAGTCTAAGCCATGCTGGTGGATGCAGACTACTTGGTCGTAGTCCGCATGACTATTGTAAGTAATGGTTAGAGACTCTGGGTGATATGACTCAGGATCGATCACCATGGCGTAGGTGTATACACTCTCTATCTTTCCCTAAACTGTGAGACTAAAATTGCTTTATATCTTTCATTTTGCCAACTAATTCTTTCATTCTGTACCGTATCCTTATACACGATCTTTCTTTGATACATTACTACCATTGAAGTGACTAATATGAATGTGGTTTTCGTCATTTGCTAATGAGGCATGCCAACTTGGACCGATGCATATATGTGCCTGATTCTACGATGTAACTGACTGACTGTTTTTTAAATCAAATATAAATGTTAACTGGTCACGTATTGACCTCAAGAAAATCATGTATACCCTTAACTTCGATTTGGCAGGTATCGTGTGCTATGGAACGCTACTTAGCGGTAACATGTATTGCGCTAATATATCACATAGTTTTGATGATCTCCGTCTTCTTATTACATTATCGAAATTTATAAAAGGGACTAATTGCTTTAAACATATATAGTGTTTACAAGAAACTCTAATTGTATTGATGATATCTTTCTGAATTGTTTTATTCTAGCTATTTATGGATAGTAATCTCATCTTGTCAACACCTACAAATTGCTCACAACGTGTTTGTAGCACGTTCTAAATCCACTGGTTGTGTACGTGTTGTTGTCTGGCCGCGTTGCTCAGTTTTTGAAGTAAAGAACCTATCTACAATTGATTCAGAACCCAGTTTTTATGTGGCTGTTGCCGAACTCGCCGGAATGATGGTTGTTGCTAGTGAAGATGTTGCCTCTACGTTGAACTTTGATAAAGTAGAATCCATCTTGCTTAGCGAACGCCTACCCAGAAGCACCATCCACGCACTCGGATGCAAAGTATCTGAAACTCTGAACACTCAACGAGCGTAACTTATGTCAGATTAACTTATTTCGAGAAGTATCCACAAACAAGCACCACTCACTCTTACCATTTTGAATCCATTTACTGAACAAATTTTGTTATATAATGTAACTTTAGAGCTCGCTAATTAAACCGTGATCTGTTACTATGAGGTGATGTTTGTTTTACCTGCCGTTACTTTCATTAAATCCCCACTATTGTATAACCAAGATAACTTTTCTTTCCATAAATTGTACTCAGCTGGACTTCTAATGACAACTCCATGCCCTGCTTATCACCATTTTTAACTAAATACATTTTTAGCATGAGCATTCTTTACCAAATTTCGTTTATAAGGAGACAAACACTAACATCCTCTTAAGTATGAGTAACCATTATTCCCTGTAGGATGAGCACTGGAACAGTTGTAGGGAATATCAATGGAGCAGTTAAGAGAAACGATTTGACTGAATTAAATCGATTTTCGTTGTTATCCGTACGTCACAGTATTAATGCTACTGAGATTTGCCTTGATAGTTTTTCAGTTCTGACTAAAGGGAACCTATATAAATCGTTAATATTACAGATAAACACTAAGCCATGAGACGCCATTACAAATCTCTGCTTGAACTTGGTTGCTCCAATACCCCTTCAAATCTAGAGAAAATCCAAAATGTCTACAAGGTTTCCCCCAGTCTTATAGTACTTTGGAGACTGAGTCCTCCTCAAAATCTGACTGAAAAACCCACCCGAATCAGGCGAACAGCGATCACATTCCCTTTTTACGAACCACTTCATAAGGGTGCGATGGAAGTCGTCCATAATATATGTGAACGTACACAAACTTCATCTAGGGTCCCAAGTTGATCCCGTGTGTCGCCGAAGAACTGGAATATCGGCAGGTTGTTGATGTAAAACTGCTTGTTTCCCTGCGTCTAGAGTAAAGAGCAGTATATTTCACAAACATGTCGTCGCATCTCCACTAACCAGCTTATTGACGTACAATACGCAGAAAATTTCGGCTCAGGAATCCATCGCAAGCTGACAAACAATAGTGGAGCGAACTCACTTCTGAAACATTGAGTATAGTCAGCTCAATGCCACTGACGCTACCTCTCGATTAGCGCTGCTGTTACGTACCATCGGCGATTTGTACACGAGCACGGCGCATGTCACAGCTTAATTGCCAGGGTACTAAAAGCACTAACCCGATACCATAAAACAAAAGTCAAGGAATGGGATGTTGTTTAGTGAATATATTCGGGAGCCATGTAAGGACCTAAACCACACGTAGAACCATCCATATAGTCTTTCGTCGACCTTCACCAGTAGCCATCAAACACCTAGAAACAGAAAAGCACGTATTATTCACTCATAACATAACATTCATAGGCATATAAACATGAATGCCACGTTACACAAGCCTCAGCCGCTCCTCGATATAATCACTGTGATGACTTACCAAAGCATGCACACCCATCCAGTTCTGCACCTCTGAAAAAAAAGAATGCACTTAGTCAATATTCAGAGTAACTATGACCAAGAGGAACACAAGGACTTCAAGGTAACCAGAACGGAACCTGAAGTAAGCTAACCAAGGCACAATCATCATTTTGAACTTACCGAATCCCCATCGAAAGACCTCAGCAATGCGAATGGCTTCTCAGATCTGTTATTTGACAAGCAAGGAAGTTAGATTAATAGACCATTCCTGGGTGTCTTGACACATCTAAAAAACAACAAGGCACTATAAGAAAATCAGAGTAACTATGACAAGATTGCACAAAAGTAACCAAGTGCAACCAGAACGGTCGACTTAAGTTAGATAACTGAACACTTATTATCATCATGAAACACAAACCAACCTTACGACCACGTGTAACCGTCACCACGAACACCCAGAGACTGGTATACAGGTTGTCCCGCCCTTAACAAAACACAACTCTATTCAAACAACGTTTACAAAAAGTGCCAATAATTGACCCGCATTCGTTTTCCATCAAAATGAGTCATCTCTAGACAGTGAAAAACAACTCGAAATGTAATTTAGACGTTCTGAGTTAACGAAAAGTGCAATCTTTGTGCTGATTCTCCATAAAGTCATATCAGTATTTGAACTGTAGTTCACTTGCGAACTTATTCAACATTTTGAACAGACTTTAATCTTTCAGACGACATGCAACTGGTGGGTGGATTTCATTTTTAAACTACTCTCCCGTACTACATATACCTCTTTTATTTACGGTCATGTTAGCTCTACATTTGCGGTCCTTTTTTGTCTGTGCATATTCTTATTCCATCTAATACCTGTTTCCTTGATCGTATTCTTCGCTATCTATTTCTGGCTGTGGTTCTACTTATCGAGAGTAGTGCTATTAATAGACAGTCCTTTCCTTCTCCGCCCAACATTCTACTCCTCATCGATATCAAATTGAATGATTAACTTGAATATATCTGGACCTATGTCTTAAAATAGGCAAGAGTCTTCATCTAAAGTTTATCTCAATAAGGCCTGAATATTGCATTTTGCACAACAATTAAGTCCTAAAACATAATTTCGTGTTAAAATTTCACATTTTATACAAAACCGACATCATTAGCATTAAAATTTGGTAGTCGCTTGTTATAAGGGGATTTTAAGCCATTTGATTTATTATGATATCTTCATGTGGTATCAACTCCGCCTGGAGTCCCTTTCGATGGGCTACTGCCGGTCCCAAGCCCGGGTAAAGGAGGGGGTTTGGGCATGGGGTTAGCGTCCCCATCCCGTAGAAAACTAACTCGCTAAAAAAACGCTAACCAGAAAAAATAACTCAAACCATTTAAACTCTGCCCTGGGAGTTAGAGGTAATATGACGCTTCATGGTGAAAGCCGAGTTCCTTCGGAAGCCACGAGGCCGATGCCCCTTCTAACAACCAGAGCAACAATTTTTATAGGTACATGGAACGTCCGGACAATGTGGGAGACCGGGAAGACCAGTCAAATAGCAACGGAAATGAGGAGATACAACTTGGCAGTGCTGGTAATCAATGAAAGTTATTGGACCCAAGCTGGACAACAAAGGCTAAATACGGGAGAGATGCTGCTATACTCCGGTCACAAAGAGGAAAATGCTCCACACACTCAGGGAGTTGCTCTAATGCTGTCCAAAGTAGCACGAAATGCACTGGTAGGATGGAAATCTCACGGATCCAGAATCATCAAAGCATCATTCAAAACAAAGAAGGAGGTGATCACAATGAACATTATCCAATGTTATGCACCCACTAATGATAGCAACGACAATGTTAAAGATCAATTCTATGAGAGGCTGCAATCAATCAAAGAGAAGTCCCCAAGAAAGGACCTCACCATTCTGATGGCAGATCTAAACGCCAAAGTCGGAATGGACAACACCGGATATGAAGACATCATGGGACTACATGGACTGGGAGAGAGAAACGAAAACGGGGAAAGATTTGCAAATCTGTGTGCATTCAATAAATTGGTCATAGGCGGTACAACATTTCCACACAAACGTATACACAAAGCTACGTGGATCTCACCGGACCACACCACAGAGAACCAGATAGATCACATTTGCATCAATAAAAAGTTCCGAAGGACAATGGAAGATGTGAAAAGCAGGAGAGGAGCGGACATAGCTTCAGATCATCACCTGGTTGTGGCCAAACTGAAACTGAAGCTAAAGAAGAACTGGACAACTGGACAAACAGCACCACAAAGGTTCAATACAGCCTTCCTTCGAGATACTGACAAACTCAATGAATTCAAGGTAGCTCTCAACAACAGGTTCCAAGCCTTACAGGACCTACTGAAGGAAGAAGAAACTACTATGGAGGATAACTAGAAAGGTATCAAAGAAGCATTAACTTCAACGTGTCAAGAGGTTCTGGGCCCCAAGAAGCATCATCACAAGGAATGGATCTCTACAGAAACACTGGACAGGATCAAAGAAAGAAAGAACAAGAAGACAGCAATTAACAACAGTCGAACAAGAGCAGAGAAAGTCCAAGCACAAGCAGAGTACATAGAAGCAAACAAGAAAGTGAAGAAGAGCATTAGAGCTGATAAGCAAAAATACGTGGAAGAACTAGCAACGACGGCGGAAAAAGCTGCAAGAGAAGGAAATATGAGACAGCTTTACGATACGACGAAGAAGCTAGCAGGGAAATACAGTAAACCAGAGAGATCAGTCAAAGACAAAGAAGCAAGACCGGTCAGTGAAATTCAACAACAGCGCAACAGATGGACAGAGTACTTCGATGAACTCCTGAATAGGCCGGCGCCAATTAATCCATCGGACATCAAAGCAGCACACACAGATCTTCCTATAGGAGGACGTTATGGAAACTTCTACGACACTACGGAGTTCCTGAGAAGATTGTCAACATTATCCGGAACTCATACGATGGACTACAGTGCAAAGTAGTGCATGCAGGACATCTGACTGACGCATTCCAAGTAAGGACCGGAGTAAGACAAGGCTGTCTACTCTCTCCCTTCCTGTTTCTTCTGGTGGTCGACTGGATTATGAAGACCTCGACATCTGAGGGAAACCACGGCATACGATGGACAGCTCAGAAAAAATTAGACGACTTGGACTTCGCAGATGACCTAGCCCTCCTATCACATACACACGAACAAATGCAGATAAAGACAGCCAGCATAGAAGCAGTCTCTGCATCAGTAGGCCTCAACATACACAAAGAGGAAAACCAAGGTCCTCAAACACAACACGGAGAACAGCAATCCAATCACTCTTGATGGCGAAACTCTGGAAGACGTGGAATCCTTCACATACCTGGGAAGCATCGTCGATAAACAAGGAGGCTCAGATGCAGACGTCAAGGCGAGGATTGGCAAAGCTAGAGCGGCATTCCTTCAACTGAAGAATATATGGAACTCAAAACAACTTTCAACCAATATCAAAGTCAGAATCTTCAATACGAACGTCAAGGCAGTTCTACTGTACGGAGCTGAAACTTGGAGAACTACAACAACCATCATTAAGAAGGTACAAGTATTTATCAATAGCTGTCTACGCAAGAATACTCAACATCCATTGGCCTGATACCATCAGCAACAGCCTTTTGTGGGAGAGAACCAACCAGCTTCCAGCGGAAGAAGAAATTAAGAAAAGACGATGGAAATGGATAGGACATACATTGAGGAAATCATCAAACTGCATTACGGGGCAAGCGCTAACTTGGAATCCTGAAGGGAAGAGGAAAAGAGGAAGGCCAAAGAACACATTACGTCGGGAAATAGGAGCGGATATGAAAGGGATGAATAAGAACTGGAAAGAGCTGGAAAGGATTGCCCAGGACAGGGTTGGATGGAGAATGCTGGTGAGCGGCCTATGCTCCTTCACGAGGAGTAACAGGCGTATGTAAGTAAGTTATATGGTATCAAGTCCCCAGTTCTAAGGTCATCTATATTTGACAGATACTGGAAAGAGGAATTACTTCGAAGGTCGTTAAGGAACAGTGCGAAAAATAAATGAATAAAAAGTCAGCGATAAATAATCCCATGATCTGATTTCTTATGCTAACTGAGACAAGCGTGCTTTTCGAGCAGACCTTGAACTGGGAACGTTGAAGCGCATTGTTAGTCATTTTGACGATAAACTTTATTACATAATATCCAACAGTTTTATTCGACCCCATATTGAGTTTGGAAACATAGTGTTTTCTCTCTCGCTCCAAAAGAGTAAGGATAAAATGGAACGTAACCAAAAAAAGTTATAAAACCAGTTCCAGGACTCATATTCAATCCTTATGAAAAGCGTGAAGATGCCACAAGTTTTCAGAGTTTGACAACGCTTTAACCAGT